CAACTGGCATACGGTTTAATGTGAAGTCAACAACAACAACAACAATGTACTGCTGTACTCTCAAACCTAGTGTAAGTGAACACACGCACAAACTATTTTTTTCTGCATGGAGCCTTTTATTGCGGTGAGACCTCAGGCGAGATTAGAAGTCTCGCTTCGCTCGAATAATACATAAAAGCGGTCTGTTCTCACAGGCGCTACCGGGTCCACGACCAACTTGTTGAACTTGTAACAGCCGGCGTCTTTCTGACGCCAACATGATTGATAACGTTGGAACGAATCCACAGCCACACCAACGCTGTCCCTTCCAACTCGTGGTCGGTCTTACCGCATTGATTGACTGCCCCCCTCCGTGACTTGCATCAAAGGTTTCATCAGCTGTTCCGCGAGAGTATAATCTACAGCAGTGTTTGTGGCACAACTAGCGCGCAGATAGTCGTGCGCATCTCTACCGCCTCTGGTTGCGACTACTATTGTGCTTGGACCACCTCATCTCTCTGCTCTTGCCATAGGTGCGATCCGGAGTCAGACGTCTACGTGCCTGCGTAGCTCAAAAAAAAAAAAAATCGAAAATCGTTTTTCTGGTTCTCTCTCAAACGTTCAGAACCGTCGAATAAAAACTTGCTCAAAAAAAAATCGGTTCGGGAAGACCGAGATTTTTTTTTTTCGCCGCATTGCTGAACTTTTTTCGTCTCGAGCACCTCTTGAATCGATCCTGCTTGGCCGATTTAGGGGGGGTAGAGCCACTCAGAGAGTTGTTCAGACCAAAAGTCGGCTGCGCAGAGGCTCGATCATGAGTACCGCCGCCCCTGGGCCGGCGCCAGCTGTGACAAAGCCTGGGAAATGCCAGCGTATCGTCTTCATTGGTAGCACCAGATACCTTGTCGAGCACAAATGGAGATTCGACGCTGCTCGCAACAAGGTGCGGTTGGAGACAAAGTTTGTGAATAAGAAGAGCCCCAACAGGCCCTCGGATAAGGAAACACGTTACGTCGAGAACACTGAAGAGGCTGCAAGCTCGGAAGCGTTAGAGATGGCTGACAGAGTTCTGAAGAAGAAGCGAGATGTGTTCCTGCGGGAGAACGGGGGGGACGCTGGTGGCAGCAGCAGCGGCAAGAAGAGGCGGAGGAACGCTGACGACGAACTAGCTGACCCAGTCATCGTGGCTTTGCGGGGTGGCGGAAGGACTCGATCTGGGGTGGAAACGGGCAAGCCAGATGAACAAGAGGTGAGAAAAAAATAGTCTGCTAGGGATTCCCGCACTGCTGTAAACATCACGAAAGCACTTTTGAAAGTTGCCTAGATACGGGTGTGTCCCGATGGCTATCGCTGCATCGTTTTACACCAGCACTCCAAAGATAGCAACTGCAACGAGGTAGAGTATCTGCAAATTTGAGTATCTTGATTAGATCCGCCGGGAACAAGAGTATTCACAAACATTTTCGAAGCACAAGTGCTGCGTGCTAGACCACTCTCATGCCATCCTCCCTTCCGCGATGCAATTATAAAGGCGGAGATTGACTGGAGAACCCAGGATGCGGAAAGTTTCCTGGCTTTCTTGAACAGCAAGGAGTCATCAAGCGACGCACTAGAATTCTTGGCATCTAAGGGTTTGGACGCTGCGAAGGAAGTCCGTCGCCGTATTCGAGAGCTGGACGTTTTGGCAAGGGTCGGAGCTTCGTTGAAGAGAGCGATTGAGCAGGCGCAGAAGCAACGAAGCACCAGCGACGGGCATCGAACATGGCAAACACTTCTCACTGCGGCGGCCTTCATGGTCGAAGATGAGGAGGGCTCGCAGCTATCGGCCCAACGGACGGCCGCCGCGATTAACGTCCGCAGACAGAGCTTTAACTTCGCGGTAGGCCGTGCCAAAAAGTTGAACCCCGATGTCCGTCCGACCGAGGCGTTGAAGGACGGTGTCTACTGGTTCTCCCCCCGAGCCAAGAGGAGCGACGCAGCCAGCGATGAACTGGTATCGTTAATGCGGCAATACTGGCACACGGACGAGGTGTCGCGCGCGAGCGGCAACTCGGCCGACCGTGACATGTGGATTTCGTCCAAGTCCCCCAACGCTGAACGCCATCCTAGGCGGCAGCTCATCGAAGTGGGCGGGGGCGACGCGGTGTACGCGAAGTTCCTCAAGTGGGCGGACTACAGGAGCTTCAAGTCACGACAGGGGCCCGAATTCACTGACCCCGGCCGCACGCTCTTCCTATCGACGCGGTGCAAGTGCCTAACCCTTCCTGTCATGGAACAGTGTGCGTGCAAGATCCACTCGCAACAGGTGCTGTACATCGAGGCGTTGGCGAACGTCGACATGGCCAGCCACGGAGACTGCTCGTGCCGATGGTGCACCGTGGACGGAGGCAGCAAATGGCGGGAGACTTGGAAGCACCTAGGAACTTTCTCCGATGCGATCGCTTGCCCGAAGGTGAACTTGCGTGCAGAGGACCCGGAAGATAATGTTGGGTTCATGGGGCGGAAACCGGAATGTAGCGCCTTCAAGTGCAAGGAGTGTGGGTTCGGGGGGGCCAAGGGAATCCCCACCTGCACCAGGCTGGAGACTTCTCAGAAGACGGTCGAGTGGAAGGAGTTCGAGGATGTGATCACGGTGCCTGCTTCGGCAGATGGGAAGATCAAAGCCAAGAAGCTCGCGAACCAGACCATTCCCAAAGAGGGCAGGCTCTGCGACCTGTGGAAGGCCTTCAAACAGGACAGCAAGCTTTACATGGCTCATCACGCGACCGCCAAGTGGCAGAGGCACTGCCACGGGCGTTGCTTGGAGACGTTCCAGGACGGCGACCTTGTCATTGAGACAGACACCACTTCGTGGGGGCCAACACTCCCAGGAACGACGCGCAAACCACGACGGAAGACCCCGAAGACATCAAGCTGGCGCTGAAAAGGGAGGAGGGGGGTCGTTCGACGGGAGAAGAGGAGAGTCGATTGGCGGGGCTTGGGGGGGTCAGAGTGATGCAAGTTTCGGGAAGGTGGAAAGGGGTCGAGGGAAGCGGACCTGTCGAACCGATGTCGGGCGAGGAGGTGGTTGTTGTGAGGAAGGAGACCCGGGTGCACATGCTCAGAACCCGTTTGGCGTCGTGTTTTTGCTCGGCGTGCCAGCGTTTTCAGTACGAGGACTGCTACGTCAACCGGGCGTACCCGGACCTGGTTCCCCCAATGAGGGAGGGTAAAGTGAAGGAAACGGTCATCATGGACACCGGAGTAGCGCTGGAAAGCGAAGGCAAAGCTGGCATCACTTTCAGGTCCCGACAAAGCACGTGTGAGATGGCGAGGCTCACTGGGACTCAGTGGGAAGCGAGCGACTCGAAGATTGCTTTCAATTTGTGGAAGGAGCTTGAAAGAGAGGAAGAATCCACACTTCTTGTCCGTTTCCGGAGACAGCCGGGGATATAATTGTGCTGCTTCTTTTGTTTGTTGTTGGACGTCGTTTTAGGCGTAAACGTGCGTGGTGAGATCGGAAACGTGAGAGTAGGGGGCGAGGTGGCAATTGCACGTTGCGATTGGCGTTAACGGTGTGTTTTGGTATCGGAAACGTGGGGATAGGGGCGAGGTGGCGTGTAAATTTTGTTGGAAATTGTTTGTGATGATGCCGTTCTTGGCAACGTCAATATTCACGTCGATATCTCAAAAATGAAAACAAGAAAAAAAAATCTGATCACGGATTCGTAATCCCCATCCCGAAATTACCATGACCTGAAATTTTCAGCTGGGTTGGACACTTTTTTTATTCCGGGGATTGTTTTGGACCATCCCCGCTTTTTGCGTTTTGGTGAAATATTCCCAGGAATAAGATGGAATCGATTGAAACCCGGCAAGAAACATGTGTAAAACAAAAAAAGAATCGTGTGGTGCCCATCTCATACCTCAAGGTACTAGCGAACAAAAAATCAGACCTTATCCGGGGATGGTTCATCACTATCCCCCCCCCCTTAAAAAAGCTGAACGTATTACTCCGGATCGCGCCCATAGCTTTATGACGGAGTATTATTATTGCAGGCGCTCCCGTTGCCTCTTTATGACAAGTCCCAAGTTTGTTGCTCTGTACCCCCGTCTCCTGCAATGTTCGTTATCCTGTGTGCTGCCGTGCGCTCCCCTCCTCGCAGGCATGAAGTCGCGAGTTGACGAATCGTTTCAAGGCCGTTGGAAGGTTCCGGCTGGTAACCTGGACGTGTCGTCGTTTGGAGGGAGACCATTGCGTCCTGACGGCGTGGCACGGATAAGGCAGAGCATCATGTCCAACGGCTGGGTTGACACACGTATCATCGCCTGCCGAGTTGCTGGTGACAAAAGTGTGTTGGACGAGGCCACGGCGAAGACAACGACCCTGAGAGTCATAGATGGGCGCCACAGGTATCTACTATGGTGGAATTGGGTGTGTGTTTGTTTAGTGTGTTCGCCCCATGTTGTACTTGGCGCAAGTCTACTAACCAGTGCATTCACCACCGTGGCTCAAAAACCAGGCTCTCGCAAAGAGAATAGACTATAGGTAAAGTAGCCACAGCAGAAGAAACGAAATGCCCACTAACCGGCGGCAGTCGCTGCCGTTGTTTTTCTCCCGACAAGGATTGCGCCGTCCCTATCGATCGGTCGTCGACCTCGAAGCGGCAGCACACTCGCATGATTGAAGTTATTAATTTTGGATTAATTTGTAGCAATTATATTGGCGAGTCACAGTTGAGTCGACTCGTGACAGCAGTAACGAGAGAGGGCCGGGAAGAAAGCGGTGTTCGCGCTCGCTCGAGGCTAGGAATAGTCCCCCATGTCATGATGGAACAAGACAGGACAACGTGTTCCACGTGTTCCTGCCAGGACAAGTAAACGCATCCACTTGCTGTGTTTTTTTGTTTGTACTGCATGCAACAGATGTGCAGCTCTTGTTGCATTCAACGCCGCCAAGGATTCAGGACAAGAGATCTGCCCGCTCGTTGATGTTCATAGTGAAGTGGACGCCGATACGGAGAGGTTGATAGCTGCAAGTAAGTGTGTGCAGATGGGTTGGTTGTTTCAGCCTTACATTATTCCATGGCGGCGTGTACCCTCCGGCAGCCTGAACTGCAGAAACCGTTTGTGTTTGTTGTCAACAAACTGGGTTTGGTTTGCACCTTACGATGTGTTCATTTCAGGACCGCCGATGCCAGGCACAGAGAGAGGCGGCCTTTGTTTAATCACCAAGGAGCGTGAGAGTAGACAAGTCTGCTGTGTGTGTGCGTTGAAAAAAACACGAGGAGCCTGAAACTCAATGGACTAAATGAACATTAACGAACAACCCTTAGCCCACCCATAGCATTTGGCACGTCCGGTTATCCGGGTTCTTTGGTTGTGCCGAGGAGTCCAGCGATGCCCTTTCTTTTTGATCTACCCAGAACGCACAAAACAGCCTTGCACTGCTGTATGAAGGGCATGCATTTTTCAGCAAAAATAGAAACGCACTTACCCCCACATAATAAATACCGCAACCACTCGCCCTGGCCCGCTTGCGACCTTCGTACTCCACACACCAGGTGCGCAGGGTATCACCGAAGCAGTTGTCAAGACCACGTTATTCGACCGGATAGATTCAACCAAGGCCGCTCGTAGCGGTGGTTCGCACGAAAATGTGAGACGAGGGTTGTATAGTCTTAACCTAGTGCTCGGAGCCGCCTTGTTAGGTCGACTCACGCACCTACCTGGACACTACTGTAAACCCTCCACCTACTTAACAATACCTGAAAGTTTCGAAAAAGTTGCACGATTCACTGTACGAAATTTGGGGGGTCATACATAAAGCAACTCAAAGTTATAATAGTTATATTCCATTCCATGCATGCATGTTGCTATCGTCAGAGATGCAATGATCCCATCTTCGGAACCACGCTATTTTCCACGTATGCGCAGGCCAATCAGTCGGTTGCCAATGCGAAAAAAGCCCCCAAGCAGGAAGGACTCGACGCTCTAGAGGACGTCACGGTGCTTCAGGGACGCCTAGCCGGACATCGCGACCTCAACCCCTCACCGGACGGCCTGCATTGTGAACGCGTTACACTGGAAGCCCTGCTTCGGCCCGAGTTCGCGGCAATGCCGGGGGAAGATCAAGCAGCGTACATCTACCGCATGGCCTCGTAAGCTGTTTGTTGCGTAGTTATTTTTGCAGGCGCTGGAATCGTGTGTCGCAAAACGTTAAAAACATAGTTTTCTACGCTAAAATCATCGCTTGTAGTATGCTTTGAGAGGGTGAAAATCCGCGCGCTGTTAGGATGATCCGAACTGGGGGTAGCTTGTCGCAAGACGTGTGTTGAATAGGGTGTC